CCCGGTGCCGCAGGACAGAGGAAGCGCGCCGCGGCCCTGCTCCTCAGCCTTCGCCCGGGCTTTTCTCAGCCCCAGACACCGAGCACCTGTCCTCCGCCTCGGCCTCAGCTGAGACCCCTCCACCGGAGCACACGCTGCCCCTGCAGCCCAAGAAGTGCCCAGCCCTACGCCGGCGACCACCATGGCCGAGACCAACAACGAATGTAGCATCAAGGTGCTCTGCCGATTTCGGCCCCTGAACCAGGCCGAGATTCTGCGGGGGGACAAGTTCATCCCCATTTTCCAAGGGGACGACAGCGTCGTTATTGGGGTGAGTGCTGCCCCGGGAGAGAATTTCAGGGAGGGAGCAAGAGGCTGAATCTTTCCCCTAAGCCGAGCCTTGGCCCCTGCCTGTCTCTGCACCCCCTCCACGCCGCTCATCCTCCATCCTTTTCGCCGCAGCCCCTCCTCTCCCTGCATCAGGGATGGCTGGGTGTGGCCTGTCCAGGCCGGCGGCCGTCTCCGCAGAGTGGGAGGGGGCTACTTTCCCTCGATCAGGGGACCCGATTCCCCTTTGCTGTTCTCTGCAGCGTCCCCACCCCTCAGAGTAAGTCCCGTGTTTTTCTGATGTTTTCTCTCTTCCCTAGGGAAAGCGCATCTTCCCTTTGTTATTGGCTCAGATCTCTACCCCCACCTCCCAGGAAGGGAGGGGGAAGATTAGTGGCTGGGCTTGGTGGGAGGTGGGCAGTCCAAGGTCTCTGCGGAGGTACAAATGAGGGTGGGCTCTAGAACCAAGGCCCCCTCATCCCTGAAATAGTTTCAGCCTGGACGTGGGGGAAGGGCACCTATCTAATGAAGGGTATTCTGAGAAATACATTGATGCCACACCCAGTTTGGTGGGGGAGCCACTGGGTCCTAAGGAAACGTCTGCCTTTCCCTCCCATGGAACGGTAGGAAGAGGATTTCAGACCACCTCCCGCCCCCAACTCCCCCAAACAAATAAAAATAACCAAACCCTGAGATCCTAACAAGTACTTGCTTATTCATCCCTCTTGATGAGCCAATAAAAAGTAGCAGGCCACCCCCTGCACCTCATCATGACAGCCCCTACCCACCCGGGAGACCTTATGAAGAAGGAGAACTAATAGTCACTGTGTGCTCGTTACTCTGCATGTATTATTTAATCCTCAAAACAACACTCTGAAGAAGGTATTAATATTTCCATTTTACAGATGAGGAAATTGAGGCCCAGAGAATTCGATTGACTTTCTCAAGGTCACACTGTTAATTCGTGGATCTGAAACTGAATCTGTGACTCTAAAGCTCCTGTCTTTTCTTCTGTATCACGTTGCCTCTGCAGATTTCTGTTCTGGACCTTTCTCTGTGATGGCACCATAGGGATTCCTTGGGAATTCCTCACCTACCTCCCCTTTCCTAGGTTGGTAGGGACTGTTAGGCTATGGGGTGAAAGGGCCTGCAGTCCAGTCCAGTGAGGCTTGAGGTGTGCTGGGCCAGGAAACTGTAATCAGTCTGAGGAGGGAGAGCACATATAAGGGCAGTCCTCAAGGTCAGGGACATTTCTTATGTATCTTTGATCCACAGTGCTTGGCACAAGGGGAGGGAGCCTGGGCCTTCTGAATCAGGCAGAATGGGACTTTGAGTAAACATGCCTTAGGAAGACACTTGCTTACATGTTCTGTCCCCAAGGGCCCTAGTCTTTCACCGGGCTCTCTCACTCACACTGTGAACTCAAATGGATGTTTTGCCTTGTGTGTGTGCTTATGTATGTCTGTGTTTGCCACATAGAAAGGGCCCCTGTCTCTCTTTGTCTCAGGGACCTTAGGCTTTGCAGTCTGGTCCCTCTGGCCAGGCTACAATAGTCTAAATCAGCCCTCAGGGCCTCCTTTCTGAATAGTCTGGACAGTGGGGCAGTAGCTGGAGAATTAGAGCTTGAGGGCCCCCTGTGACATAAAGACGGAGAAACATGAGTGAGATGGTTGTGGAGGAGCAAATCCATAAATGGCTTCCACTTTTAAGCCTAGCTTCCTTGCTCTAGGTTTTTTAGGTAAGTCTGAGCCGACTCCTTTAGGCTCTTTGGGTCATCCATCCTGATGTGCTATGCTCGGGGCGTGGGGGTGACGTTGGGAGAAGTAATTGTGTTGATCTGTCCAATTCACCCAGCTAAATAGGAGAGATGTGGTGGTGGAAGGTGGGGAGGGAGGAGAGAAGCCAGCCCAGGGCCCCCTGCCAATTCAGATTCTATCTTACTCCACAGCTGGTCCTCCTTATCAGTTTTGCCTGCAATTTGCAGGGCTGTCCCTTTGTCTGCTCTGTATCTTCCCTTCCTCTAGCCCTTCCTGTCAATCTCTCCCTCCAAGATACGTGCTTGTGGGGGGCCATTTTGTCTCAGGCAGCATCCTTGGAGCTTGTCTTCCCAGGCTTTCTGTTTATTCCTCATTCAGGAGGATGGGGGCTATAGGAGAGATGATTTTGAGGAGCACCTTGAGGATCCCAACAGGGAAAGAAATCTCCCACCCCCTTTCCTCTGTATTCCTCTAGCTCCTTTTGGGGCCCAGCGTATGGGAAACTGTCTGAGGAATTAATAGAGGAGGCTGCTTCAGAATGTCTGGGAAGGTGAGGGAAGAATAATCTCTCCAAGCCCAGCCTCTGCTCCTTTCTCTAACAGCTAGCTCTTCTCTCTGCCTCTGCAGCAATGCGGCTAGCTCGGGCTACAGAGTCCCTAACGTTCGTGGGCTTTTTCTGCTTGGCAAAGTGTAGGAGAATAAGGTGGGAAGACAGCTCCGTGAGCCTTATTCCTCCCCCACTCCCCTGACTTCTCCCAAGAATCTGGGATGGGCTTAGCCCAATTCATGGCCTGAGTCATAGTAGAAGGGTGTCTGGGTCACTGTCTGTGCGTACTGTATACCTTGTTTTGCTCTTGTGTCACTCAGAATCCGCTGTGACTTTAAGCGGACCTGTTTAAGTGTCTTTCTGCCTTGGTCCTGGTGGGCAGGGTGCCTGCTCTCTGCTGCTGCATCTGCACCAGACAGGAGGGATGACAGTAAGGAAACACACAGCCCCTCCCCCCTCTCTTCCCTCTCCTTTCCTCTCTCATTCAAGTATTCTACCTTCCTTCTATCTCCTGATAGTGAAGTGGGTTCTTAGGGAGGCAAAAACACAGGGCCATCAAGTACCTCATGTAGAAAACCCTGGTTGGGACCAGCAGGATTACTGGAGCAGAGTCAGCGCTGTTTGGGGTAACCCGGGATTCCTTTGATACCTGAAGAGAGGGAGCAGTTCTCCTCTTAGCCTTGGGGTAGCCTCATAAAGGAAAATGGAGAGGGGAGGTAATGTTCACCGTGGCCGGTGCCTCTCCAGTGTTACCATGGCAACAGTCCCCAGGGGTGTCACTACAGAAATCAGGCCCGGTGCTCAGAAGTTCAGTCTCTACCAAGTGCTTTAGTAAAGGTTGAAAAGGTTGGTCATCTTTGGATGTCAGGTCCTCCCATTAGCTTTAGTCAGCACACATAATGGAAAACTACCTAAAGTGCTGGAGACAGGACCAAATGGGAGACCGCAGGGAAGCTTGGAGTGGGTCAGAGGAGAACAGGGAGTCCTGGGTTGCGAGACTCTGAAGAGAAGCCCTCCGGGGGAGGCTATGAGGAGTGCCTAGACTGCTGTGGGTGGAGAGAGAGTGGATCACAGAGGCATTCCTCAAAGGTAGAGGGTTCTATGAGTGTTCCTAATTTAACAATCTTCCGGTCCCTGGCTGCACTAACTCACAGGGTCTTTGATTATCTGGAGGTAGAGATGGTGAAAGAGACTCCCCGGATGAGTGGGAGAACTGCGTTCTTCTAAAAGGGAGTTGAGGTGGGAAAAGAGGAGTGATGAAGTGCTTTAGTTCTGTCCAGAAACATTTGAAGAAATTCCCAAATGGAGGGGGCCAGGTGGGCAAGGGGAAGGAAAAGCCATGATAAGGCTCTGATGCGTTCTTGGCACATCAGTTCTGGGATCACTTCGGCAGGATGAGTATGGAATCGGATTGCTTGCATTTGAAACCGTTCTCTACCGTTTCTCAGCTGTGTGACTGTGGGAAGCTACCTTACCTCTCTGAACCTCAATTTCCCCATTAATAAAATGTAATAATAATAGTACCTACCTCCTAGGATTCCTATGAGCATTAAATGAGATAATGCATATAAGCTGCTTAGCCCAGGGACAGGCACATAATAAACTCCCGACGAGAGTTAGATGATATTATTATTATTATTATTATTATTATTATTATTATTATTTTGTATATGCTATCTTCCCATAAGCTAGCCTTTGACATAATTGCGAAGTGGTTAACATTTTCCCCTTTTACTGGTTGTTTCATCCAAATGTCCAGTCCCCAGTATCTTCATGCTCTCTTCTTCCATCAGTGTCTGTGTTTATTCAACAAATATTTATGAAGAGCATCCTATGGGCCAAGGACTGTGCTTGATATTGGGGATTTAGAGTGAATCCCTGACTTTGGGAAATTCCTGGTGTCCATGGTGAACAGGGCTGCAGAGCGGCCTGGGCAGAGTCCAGGGAAGGGGCATCAGAGATGGCTTTTGCTAAGTGTACATATACTTCCCCAGATTCTGATAAGAAACCCCCCACGACATACTACAGTATGACTCAGAGTCATTATGTGTCATCAGAGATGTAAATACTGGTGATGTTTCCCAAGTGAGTAATCCAGAGGCAGAAAATGTAGAAAACCACCGGCCTCGTTATTCTCATAGAAAGATCTGACAGAACGAATTCTTCCTGACTATGATCAATAGAAAATTAAAAGACATTTATATTGTAACAGACATAAAAATTTTAGGAAAAAGTAATGAACTAGATCTAAGGGCTCAACCAAGAGTAGGGAAGGAGTAGCAGGCCTTCCCAGAAACCCTGGAATTATGTCTATTGGCTTTCCCTGCTCACGAGATTACTAAGTGCACCCGTTTTTAGCTCTTGAATATTTTTTATCCCCACAGTTCCCAGAACGCTCCCCTTCCTCCCTTTCTAGGCTTTTCCTTCATTCCAGCCTAGGCTGAGGAAAAGGGGTTCCTCAGGCGATAACTGCCTTCAGCACTTGGAGAGCGCCCTCCATTTTAATGCGTCCGCAGCAACCTCTGGAATCCTGCAACTGGGTGGGTGTGGGTGTGGGTGTGTGTGTGTGAGAGAGAGAGAGAGAGAGGGAGAGAGGGAGTTGATACACACATTCCCAGAAGGGAAGAAGGGAGGGGCAAGGTTGGCTCGAGCGTTATATTTAACCCCCTTTGGCTGCATGCCTGGCTTCAAGAAGCATGGATAGACATCATTGGTGGAGAATAGGTGAGAGTCACTGGGCTGAGATGGACGTGTTTTGTTTGTTTCTGTTTCCTCGCCACTGGGTGGGAGAAATATTGAGTTAGATTACAATTCAAGAATCAAGTTTCAATTAAGAAATAAAACAAAATGAAAGAAAAGATATTATCACTGAGAAGGTGAGGCATCAAGGCCACTTTAAATCTGTTCATTGTAACACTGTATGATTTTACTCTACATAATAAGAATTTTATTCTTTGTAATGAAGTGTAATGACAAACTATTGATAAAAAGGGTGAAAAATTCACTAAAGTCCTATGAATAATTCATAAGCTTACTCAAACCTTAAAAAAAGAATCAAGGTAGATTTTTCTTTAATAATACTAAACATAATCTGATTTCGACACTAATATATTTTAATTGTTGACAAAGTTAAAAACAAAGAAAAGCACATAGAAGAAACTAAAAATCAGTCAAAATCCCACCACCCCAAGAAAAACACTGTTAACAATTTGATGTTTTTGTTTCCAGTGGGTTTTTTCTAAATATATATAGATAAGAATTTTAATAAAAGTGTATCACAAATTCTATATTGTTTTGAAACCCATTTTTGACTGTCTTACCATCATTAAAATTTTACATACTTTCATTTATTTTTAAAAATATTTGATTTAATTTTTGAATGCCTTACATGTACATGTGACAAAATTCAAATGATATAAAAAAATGAACAAGGAAAAGTAAGCCTCCTTCCTACCCCTCTTTTGTAGTCACCAGTTCCCCTGTCAGAAGGCAGCCTTATTACCAGTTTCTTGTGGATCCTTCTGAAGGCATACCATACATTTATAAGCAAATACATTTATACATATATATACTTTTTTATACAAGCGGTAGCATACTATATACATACTATTCTGTACCTTGCTTTTTTTTTTTTAAATGAAGGTACTGAGGATTGAATCCAGGACCTCGTGCATGCTAAGCACAAGCTGTACCCCCACGCCCTAGTACCTTGGTGTTTTTTTTTTAACTTAACAATGAGTCTTGGAGATCCTTCTATATATCAGCACATAAAGATCTATCTTATTCTTTTAAACAACTGTATAATTAGCTAAAGGGATATGCCACCATTTACTTAGCTGAGTCCCTATTGATGGATATGGATATTTAGAGTTGTTCCAATCATTTGCTGTTACAAACAATTGAATGACCATGTAAATATTTAAGGGCCCAGCCAATGCAATGCATCGTCAAACTATTTTATTTTGGCCACTTTGATACATTAAAATGATACCTCATAGTCTTAATATTCATTTCTCATTAACAGTGAGGTTGTGCATAATTCATCTTTTAGGAGCCATTATCACATCATTTTATGATGTTATATTTTATGATAGCACTTACTGAGACACAATTTACATAGTGAGTGCACAAATCTTATGCAAATGACTGGATGAATTTTATGAGATATTTTGACACCTGTGTAACCACTACCCAGACTGAGATCTAGAGCATTTTTACTGCCCCTCAAAACTCTCTTTTGCCCCCTTTCTGTCAACATTACCCTAAGGCAATCATTGCTTTGACTTCTATTACAACACGTAAGTGTTGTCCATTCTTGAACTTAATATAAAGAGAATAGTACAGTACATACTCTCTGAGTTTGAATTCTTTCACTCAACACATTTCTGACATTTATTGATGTCCTATTATGACATCATTTTAAATAACAGTAAATGAGAAAATATATGTATGTGCCATAGTTTCAGTTCCTTACATTAACCAGTCCCCTAAATGTAACTCCTTTCAGTTGTTTTCCGTTTCTCATTATTATGAGCAGTGTGATAAACATTCTTGTAGCTAACATTTCCATAGTATGAATTCTCAGGAGTAGAATATCTGGGTCGGTGGATATGTACAATTCAAGGCTTTTGATTATGTATTTCTGAATTGCCCCCTTAAAAGTATGGCTGTACTGTCCTACCAGAAAAGCATGAAGGTGCCCATTTCAAGGAAATTATACCTTCTTGAACCCCTATCTGTTCTGGGTATTACAAGTAAGTTTTTGTTTTCAAGTTTGATGGGTGAAAAATGACATTACTATTTTTTTCTTCAAAAATGTTGAGTATCTTTATGTTTATTGAACATTTGTATTTCTTCTTCTGCTGTTAGTACCTAACTCTTGCCCATATTTTTCTGGTTAGCTTTGTCTTTTTGTTACTACCTTATGAGAGTTCTTTACACAGTAAGAATATTAATATCTTTGTTTTAGAAATTTAAATTTTTCTTATTTAAAAATCAGGCATTTTCATTTTAGAATGGCTTTAAATCTAAATCAAAAAGAACAACAAAAACTCCTAAAATCCCACTGCTGAAAGACAGCCAGTTAACATGTTTTCCTATGTAAGGTATGCACTTATGCACGTATACATGATCTTTTTTTATAGAAATGGCATAATCCTTTATGTACTTTTTGTGTGTGTTTTTACATCACATGCTATTTTAAAACCCACCTTTAAAAAATATTTTGTGCATACCTTGTCGTGTCATCACACATTTTTCTCTAACATCATCTATACTATTTTATTTTTTTTAATTTAAAAGCAGTATGATGCCATTGTAAAACATTTACGTGTCACAGAAGAAGTGTAGTAAGTATGAGTTCCTGTCGTTCTGCTCTCGGGCCATCACCACCATTAATGGATCTGTACATAGTCTTCCATATCTTTTTTCTAAGGCTATTCTATCCATGTGCTTTTTAAAAATATAAAAACACATTATACACGTTGTCTGTTTTTTTCACGTAATCGATCTTGGACAGGTCAGTATACACAAACCAACCTTGCTCATTTTAATGGGGATAGATTATGGAGGTATCATAGCCAGCATGTTCGTGATGGAGGTGTGAATTGTTTCCAGTTTTTCTTTAATATACATACTGCTGCAGTGAACATCCTTCTACATATGTCTTTCAGTGCTTAAGCAAGTGATGTAAAATGAATGCCTAGCTTTGGGGTTGCTGGTACAGGGAACGACCAGTATGGACGTTTAAATATTTAATAATGTTGTCCTCTGGAAAGGCTCTGTCTGCTTACAGCACTCCCTTCATTGTAGAGGGCACCTTCACCTTTGCTTTTTCTTTGTGGTTTCTGTTTTTTGGGCTTTGGAGACTTTCCCCACAGGGAGAGCAGGTAAATATTCCAGGTAGATTTTTATCAGGAGCCAGACTTTTAAAATCTTTTAAATATTACAAAAAATATTTATTTTCCTTTTTGCAGAGAAGTAAAAAGAAGGAAACAGAATAATACACTATTGTCTCACTCTCTTTGGCATTAAAAAAATAAAACATACAACTTGTACATGGTTTAAAATGTAAACCTTCCAGGATACAAAATGAAAAATGAAAGCCTCCTCTCCCAGTTTCTCTCCCCAAAATAACCCCTGTTAGTGCTTTTGTATGATTGCTTCTGCAAAAAGATTCCACATATGTTGTTGCAGTACTGTGGGTGTACCTAGAGCCACGTCTCCAGTTTTAACCAAATTTTTTCACTTTTCTTACTTAGTTACAATGTGTGTCCCAAACTCTGGTGTCCATGGACCTGGAGTTTTACATATCAGTTGAATAAAGGTGGTCTCTGTAGTAAAGCAATTTGACAACTAAGTCATAGTCTCTTTATACTGAATGACAGGAAAACAGGACTGAGAAACTTGCTACGATGGAGAACAAGCGTAGCCTCATTTAATCTCACCAGAGATCTTCCTGTTAATGTGATTAGGTAGCAAATATATTCTGTTTGTCTCCCTGAGTTGTAAATATTTTATATCTTTAGCATTTTTTTCTTTTTCTTTTTTTTTTGACTTTTTTTGGGGGTGGTGGTGGAGGAGGTTAGGTTTCTTTATTTACTTAAACAGAGCTACTGGGGATTGAACCCAGGACCTCATGCATGCTAAGCACACACTCTACCACTAAGCTATACCCTCCCCCCACTTCAGCATTCTTATCAGCACACATGATTCATAACACATGACCTGAATTAAACAAAGAACTTGTAGGTCTGGGTGATATGCTTCACAGTGTCTCTTTACTTAAAGCTGATTCCCTAAAGGGAGAACCGTATTTCTAACTCCATATGTTCTTTTCACAAAGAGAAAGCTTGTGTTAATAGTCCCACAACAGCTCAGTTGCTCAGTATTTGTATATTTCATTTATGCAATAAGCAATATACTAGTCATTTATCGCTAACTTTGCATCTTTCATTTAATGCATCTTCAAGATCTTTCCATATCAAGTCATATAGATCTATTAAGGAAGATATTTCTTAACTTAGTGGTAGATTTTTAAGTTAACAAATTGTTCTTCATTCTCCACAGCCTGTGGCCCTGTTGTCTTTTCCCATTTGGTTTCTAGGGAGGGGGTCTGGGACGGTGAGTGCTGAATCATCATACCAAGCCTGAGATCCCCTCACGCAGTCCCACTGTGTGATGCTCCTTAATGACACTCTCCGCTACAGACACAGCTCCTGGTGCCGATTCTAAATTTTGTTTCTCTTTAGTTTCTCTCATCCCTATAATTGTCCGTGCATACTGAAGTTTGAAGAACGTGCCTTCTCAGGTATTTCTCCTCCCTCACACCTGTCTGCTGACATCTGCCATCTTTTATTTCCACTCCAGGGGAAGCCATATGTCTTTGACCGTGTATTCCCCCCAAACACGACTCAGGAGCAAGTCTATCATGCGTGTGCCATGCAGATTGTCAAAGGTAATGGGTGTATTTTTAGAATGTGTATTTTCAGGTTCCCATTCCCAATCCCACTTCTCTCTACTAGTGCTCTTTCTCTGCCGTCTCTTCCAGATGTCCTTGCTGGCTACAATGGCACCATTTTTGCTTATGGACAGACATCCTCAGGGAAAACACATACTATGGAGGTGAGGGTTCTGACTTTCTGAGCGAAGAGCATTAATGGGACGTCAAGGAATCTTAGTGGGGTAAGATCTAGGAATCGAGGGTTGCCTAGAACAGAGGATGAACAGAAGGGAATGTTACAGTGGAAGCTGAATGGAACCCCTTCAGCCTGCTGCAGTTCTCACCCTCCTTTCTGCTACTCCAGTTTTCTTCTTTTCACCCGGAAAAGCAGCAGCAATTGAAGTCTAAAGGGCTGCTCAGTTCCCTCCTCCTTCCGCTGAAAGGTAGACGTGGTAGTGGCTGCCGCCTAACTTATCGTGGCCTTCATAGCAGCTATTACCTCTGTGTCCGTCTGCATACTCTGAGTTGTCTGATTCTTCCTGAGCCCCAGCCTCATTCCTGAATACCCTTGCTCCCCAGGGAAAGCTGCATGACCCCCAACTGATGGGAATCATTCCTCGAATTGCCCGAGACATCTTCAACCACATCTACTCCATGGATGAGAACCTTGAGTTCCACATCAAGGTGACCAGGGCATGGCCACTGGGAGTTCTCTTTTGGGACTGGAAGGGGAGGATCTAGTATGAACCCACTGAGATCCTGGGCACCCCAGCTTATTCTCCCCCCATGGTCACTTGAGTTCTTCCCTGCCAACATAGACTCTTCTGCCCTTTCTCTCTCACCAACACCATTTGAGCAGTTCACATTAGCCTGAGATCCCTGTATCAGATTTAAGATAGGTTCTCTTCACGCCATACTCCTCCTTTCTCCCTGACCAGGTTTCTTACTTTGAGATTTACCTGGACAAAATTCGTGACCTTCTGGATGGTGAGTGGTGTTTAACCTCGGTGGGTCTGGGTGAGGAGGGCAAGGAAAAGAAAGATCACATTGCTCTTGGGCTCTTGGGCTTAGGTACCAATTGGTGAGCAATGCAGCAGGCACGCGAGGGCACACACATGCGTACTCACGTCCCTTGCTTCCACTTACGAGGAATTTCCAAAACCAAGAGGGTGAGAAGATGAGCTCAGATGCCCAGACCCATGTATAAATAGCCTGAGACTAGCTAGAGCCCTGGGGCTGGAATTCTGGAGGAGGAGAAACAGTCTTCAGCATGTGCAGGGCATTTAGGCTTCACAGGGGAGTCTTCCTCCCTTTTGCATGTGGAAGAATCCACCATCTCTGAGCAGACTCCAGGGTGCGGGGGTTGGGGAGGTGGTGGGTGGAGGTGCTGGCTTTGCTCACTCTGTTGTCTTGATTCAGTGACCAAGACAAACCTGTCTGTGCACGAGGACAAGAACCGGGTGCCATTTGTCAAGGTGAGAGTGGGGACGGGGCACCCAGATGGGGCCAGTGTATTGAGAATGTAGGTTTAGGAGGAGGGTAGACCAGTGACCCAGAAGTTGGAGGGCAGATATCCTGGAGGGTGAGACATGCCCAGGGGCCGGGAAGAATCTGGAGCCTTGGAAAAGGCACTGTCTTGAAAGGGCATTTGGTCACTGTGCAGGTAATTTAATTTGCAGTTCAAAGTTTATGGGTCACTGTCCATTTGTCCCCTGCAGGGTTGTACCGAACGCTTTGTGTCCAGCCCAGAGGAGATTTTAGATGTGATTGACGAGGGGAAATCCAATCGTCATGTGGCTGTCACCAGTGAGTTGGGAGGGAGGGGCTCTTGAGTCTGAGGGTCTGCCTCTCCTCCGTGCGCTCTGGGGTCGAGACACAAAAGTGAGCAAGGGAAGATGTGTCCTCCAGAGCAGGAGGGATGCTTGTCCATGTGACCCTGCTGCCAGGTAGATGTAAGGGCTGGGCTAGTCCTGGCGGACACCCTTTCTCTCGGTGGGTGGCGATGGCAGCCCATGGAAGTGGGGAGCTGAGGGCTTCAGTTCTACAGAGGTTGCTACAGGGACTGTTTCACCCTCCCTCCTACAGACATGAATGAACACAGCTCTCGAAGCCACAGCATCTTCCTCATCAACATCAAGCAGGAGAATATGGAGACTGAGCAGAAGCTCAGTGGGAAGCTGTATCTAGTGGACCTGGCAGGGAGCGAGAAGGTTGGGGGTCCTGTGGGGGCTGGGTGGGCAGGGAAGGAATCTCTGGGGAGGGTGGCCTTTTTAAAAATCAAAATAACTTTCTTACTGAGATATAGTTCACATGCCATGACGTTCGCCATTTTAAAGTCTACAATTCAGTGTTTTTTAGTGTGTTTGCAAGATTATGCAACCCTCACCACTAATTCCAGAACATTTTCATCACCTGTTAATAGTTATGCCCTATTCTGCCTTCCCCCATCCCCTGGCAACCACTAATCTACTTTCTGATTTGCCTTTTCTGGACATTTCATGTGGCCATATATACTATGTGGGCGGGAAAGTGGCCTTTGGCAAGAGTGGAGAAGAGGTGGTGAGAGCCTGCTCCCTCTGCATCTGCTCATGACACACTCACCCCTTCATACCCTGGTAGGTGAGCAAGACTGGAGCAGAGGGAGCTGTGCTGGACGAGGCCAAGAATATCAACAAGTCCCTGTCGGCCCTGGGGAACGTGATCTCCGCGCTGGCTGAGGGCACTGTGAGTGCCCCTTGAACTCCACCCCATTTTCTACCTTCGCCTAATGCCCCCACCTCATCACGCCCCATTCCTGGGTTGCTCCATCCTAGTCAGCACTACTACCCTTTCAGATTTCCCCATTGAATTAATTTTTCTGATTCACGGTCTCCTCTCTCCCCTAGAAAACCTACGTTCCATATCGTGACAGCAAAATGACACGGATTCTCCAGGACTCCTTGGGAGGAAACTGCCGGACAACTATGTTCATCTGCTGCTCACCATCCAGCTTCAACGATGCGGAGACCAAGTCCACCCTGATGTTTGGGCAGCGGTCAGTGGCAGGGTCACCTGCTCCCCCCAGCCCCTGCACGCCCTCCCCTGAGAGGCATGCTGGCCCTAATGGAGGTCTCATCCCTTTGTTCTCCTCTCCCAGGGCAAAGACCATTAAGAACACTGCCTCAGTGAATCTGGAGTTGACTGCAGAGCAGTGGAAGAAGAAATATGAGAAGGAAAAGGAGAAGACAAAGGCTCAGAAGGAGACGATTGCAAAGCTGGAGGCTGAGCTGAGCCGGTGGCGCAGTGGTTAGAAGAGGGGGGTCCCCGTGGGTTTGAGAGGCATAGGGAGCCAGAGAGGGCCCTTCAAGGAGGGCTGCGCTTCTGGAGGGGTGCAGTAGAGCGGTCATGAGAGAAGGGGAGGGGGGCTGACTACCTTCATCCCCCACACCCACAGAGGTTGGCGGTCCACTTGGCAAGACAGCTGGAAGCCTGGAGGTCTTGGAATTGAGGGGTGAGGGAGGAAGAACCTGCAGGTGTGGTTTTCCCTTTCCCATCTCTCACCTGTTCTCCCCCTTCGCCAGGAGAGAACGTGCCTGAGACGGAGCGCCTGGCTGGGGAAGATGCCGCCCTGGGAGCCGAGCTGTGTGAGGAGACGCCGGTGAACGACAACTCGTCCATCGTGGTGCGCATCGCGCCCGAGGAGCGGCAGAAGTATGAGGAGGAGATCCGCCGCCTCTACAAGCAACTGGATGACAAGGTGAGGACAGTCGGGCAGGCACCGAGGTGAGCCCGGTGGGATGGTGAGGGAGGGGTTAAAGAATTAGCTTATCCTGCCTCTTCTGACTTTAAAAGGGATGAACGCTCGTTATTGAAAATGTGGAAGATAAATAAAAATATATAGAAGAAATTTTAAATCACCCATCATCCCACCATTTACAAATAAAGCAATGCAATGGAGATTATACTGTATTTGTAACTTTGTACCCGATTTTTTTCTTCCATGTTATATAATGAGCAATTTCCTACTTTGTTAACAATTCTTCATAAAAGTATTTTTAAATGGCTGCCTAACAGTCCATTTATCAAAATGTATTTAATTGTTTATTTATTACAGGGCTTCTAGTTTTGGGTTTTTTTTTTTGGTTGGTTGGTTGTTTTTGCTATTATAAATATCTCAGAAATGACTGTCCTTGAGGGGGTGGGGGTACAGCTCAGTGGTAGAGCACATGCTTAGCGCGCATGAGGTCCTGGGTTCAATCCCCTCTACGTCCATTAAAATAAATAAGTAAATAAATAAACTTAATTACTTTCCCCCAAACAAAAACAGAAGAAAAATTTAAAAAAAAGAAATAACTATCCTTGTCTCTTGTGCATAAGGCTTTGCTTTTGAATGATTTTATTAGAATGGACTGCTAGAGTGGGGTTTCTCAGTTGAAGGATATGAACATTTGAAGGCTTTTTCTGTGTATGGTCAAGGTCATACCAACTTCCAGAAAGAGAAGAATTAAAAAGTAAGGGCAGGAGTCGAAGAGAGAAGCTGAGGAAAAGACCTCTTTCTTTTTAGGATATGGAGTTTCTAACTCAAAGCCTAAACTATCTGAATTTTTACTGGATCCACCCAGCCCTGTAAGTCTGAACTGGAAAGAGTAGCTTCCCTTCACTCCGGCTTTCCCCTTTGCCTCCAACAGGATGACGAGATCAACCAGCAGAGCCAGCTCATAGAGAAGCTCAAGCAGCAGATGCTGGACCAGGAAGAGGTAATGGGAAGGAGGGCAAGATGCAGGAGGAGAGGGCGGTGTGTCCATCTCCGAAAGGCATAAAAAGACCTTTCTCCGATGAGGTGAAAGAAGAGGCATTCTGCGTAGTGGTTAGTCACCCTCCAGGATCACAGAAGTCTGGGGACTTAAATGGGGTTTTGCTTACAGCAGAGATGCTGGGGTCTCAGTGCCCCTGCCTTCTGTGGCCCTATTCCTGAGAAGCCGAATGCCCACTTCCTCTTGACTCTGGCCTGTTTCCTTGCCTCTGTCCTGGAGCTGTGCCCGGGTGGAGGGGGCTCAGCTTCCCCAGACCGCAGGGCCATTCGAGTGGTCACTGGCAGCAGACTCCCTCACTGGCTCGCCCCTCCCTCGCAGCTGCTGGTGTCCACTCGAGGAGACAACGAGAAGGTCCAGCAGGAGCTGAGCCACCTGCAGTCGGAGAACGACGCGGCGAAGGACGAGGTGAAGGAAGTGCTGCAGGCCCTGGAGGAGCTGGCCATGAACTACGACCAGAAGTCCCAGGAGGTGGAGGAGAAGAGCCAGCAGAACCAGCTTCTGGTGGATGAGCTGTCTCAGAAGGTGGTGAGTGGCCAGCCAGGAGCCCCCGGCCTCAGAACACCCCCCACATCCAAAGGGACCTCTGCTTCCTGACGGGGCCACATCATGTTTGCACCTTTGCATGGCCGTCCAGTGTGTCGTGAGCCTCCCCGGCCCTGCCACTGCCTCTACCCTCCCGACCCTTCTCCCTTCCAGACCCTTCTGCAGGGCCTGTGTTCTCTTCGCTGCAGCCATCAGGGCTGTGCATGAAGGGAGAGGCCTCCGCCTGGGCTGGGGAGGGGAGCAGGCAGGTGGCAATGGGGTGACCTGAGGGGCTGTCCCCAGGCCACCATGCTATCCCTGGAGTCTGAGCTGCAGCGGCTACAGGAGGTCAGTGGCCACCAGCGAAAACGAATTGCTGAGGTGCTGAATGGGCTAATGAAGGACCTGAGTGAGTTCAGTGTCATCGTGGGCAACGGGGAGATTAAGCTGGTGAGTGGAGAAAGAGGCGGCAGCCTTGTTGGGATCGTTCTTGTTCTGGGCACTGGGGAGAGACGCGGGTGGGACAGCCCAGGCTGGCGGGGATACTGAGAAGGGAAGGCCAAAGATCCAGGAAGTACGGCCGCAAACTAGACACAGGAAGGCAGGTACAGGTTTGCATAAGACTCAACAGAAACACACATTCTAAATAGACATACCCACTGAATAAAGAAGCAATGGAGATGTGCTTATAGCAGGATTTAGAGATGGGGGCACAAAGTTAGGAATGATATATGCAGATCTGTGACAGCAACAGTGACCCATCTAGGTGATCAAACAGATCAGTCTGAATACAGAAGAATGTCCTATCCTATTGTTCTAGAGAACAGAAGAAGGTCACTGTTGGAATTGGATCTTTAAGTGCAGAGAGAGGGACTTAGTGGGAAATGCAGGGGAAAGAGCTGCTAAAAGTTGCTCAGAGCACGGCCGGCCCACCTGAGTCCCTGTGTTGGGTGTGTGCGGGGCTGGGCCGAGTGGAAGGGAGTGGATAAAAGGCTTCCCCGCAGCAGAGAGGTACCTCTTCCCTCCCCTGTTCCCCCACAGCCGGTGGAGATCAGTGGGGCCATCGAGGAGGAGTTCACCGTGGCCCGACTCTACATCAGCAAAATCAAATCGGAAGTCAAGTCTGTGGTCAAACGGTGCCGGCAGCTGGAGAACCTCCAGGTGGAATGTCACCGCAAGATGGAAGTGACCGGGCGGGAGCTCTCATCCTGCCAGCTCCTCATCTCCCAGGTGAGGGCCGGAGGTTTAGAACCTTTGGGTGCCATAAGAGAGGGTGACTCTGTGGACGTGGGGTAACTCCTAGCGCCCACGTTCATGTCAGGAGCCTAGGGTCAACTGAAGTCAAGGTCAGAAAAGCTGGGGGCGGCGGGGAGGGTCCAGGCCTGAGAAGTGAAGGGGCGGGGGGATACTGCCCTCTGCACCAAGAGGGTGTGAAGGAAGGGTCTCCAGAGGAATGGCCCTGACCCTGCATCCTCAGGGAAGGCATAGCAGGAGGGGTGGTTGGAGGTGGGAGATACAGCTTATGGAGGTCTGCACTGCCTGGAGCTTGGTCCTTTGCACCATCATCTTCCTCTCACCAACCCTCACCCCAACAGCATGAGGCCAAGATCCGCTCCCTTACGGAGTACATGCAGAGTGTGGAGCTCAAGAAGCGGCACCTGGAAGAGTCCTATGACTCCCTGAGCGATGAGTTAGCCAAGCTCCAGGCCCAGGGTGAGGCCCTCTTACACTTCCAACCCACCCATCGTGAGATCTGAGAGCCCACAAAGGACGGGGTTGGGGGGAAGCAACAAACATCAAAAGAAGCACACTTAACCCAAAGCAGTAGACTGAAATCATGGAGTCCAGCTCACATGCTCTTAGCAAGCTTATGCATGAGGCGCATTTTACATGAGCCAGAAACCCTCCATTGTTCTCTGTCCCTGCATATGAAATTGGACAGTCCTAACCCAGAAGAACATCCCTGTGGGCCCATTCTGGGTAGAGGTCCCCTGCCCTGCCTGGAGCTCTGATCACAATGTGAAGTTCTGTCTGGAGGAGGTAGGTGTGACGTAAACTGTCTTCCCCTCAGAAACTGTGCATGAAGTGTCCCTGAAGGACCAGGAGCCAGACACACAGGACACAGATGACGTGAAGGCAAGTGGGGAAGGCATGGACATGATGGGGCCCGGCAGGGCTGTGCTGACCCTCGCCAAGCTGCTGTTCGGTAGTCCAGCTTTGAGCTTGAGGTTGGGTTGTTTGCAGAAGGCCCTGGAGGTGCAGATGGAGAGCCACCGGGAGGCCCATCACCGGCAGCTGGCCCGGCTCCGGGATGAGATCAACGAGAAGCAGAAGACCATCGATGAGCTCAAAGAGTAAGTGTTCCCCGGGGCGGCTCAGTCTCTGCCTGGTCCTCTCGCCTTGCTGCACCCACTCAGATGCTCCCTCCTGGGCCAGGCTCCGGTTCTTTAACTTCCCCGAGTTGTTCCTCCGACAGTGACACGACTTTGCAGCCCAGCTGCAAGAGGCACAAGGAGTAAGGACTGTCCCTATCCGTGAGGCTCTTCTGATTAGATAGCTCAGGGTCCCTTACCCTGCCATGGAAGCAGTGGCCCGAGTCTGCCTCTGAAATCCAAATCGGCCCTACCTGGAGCCACTCGTACAAGAAGGAAGGTGTCTGAGGAGCTGGCCTTCCCTTTGTCCTCACTGACATCTTTTTGTTCTCCCCGATAACTCCTTGCCCCCCACAGCCTGAATCAGAAGCTCCAGTTAGAGCTGGAGAAGCTTCAGGCTGACTACGAGAAGCTGAAGAACGAAGAACATGAGAAAAGCACCAAACTCCAGGAGCTGACGTGAGTCACGGGTCCTCCTGCAGACCCGGGGCACATGGGCTCAGACGGCTACTCAGATGCGCTGCAGAGGCAGGATGCAATGTAGATGTGCATACGGTGACTGCAGGAAGCAAGTGCCCCAAAAGAACAATGTGATGGGGTGGGGAAGGCAAAAAAGGGGAGACTTTCAGAAATGACTTCTGTTCAAATATTAGCTGACATGGATAAGGTGTTGGTGATGTTCTGTGAAGTGTAAAAAGCAGGTTAGAAAACAGTATGAATGGTACGATCCCATAACATTTATGTGGGATACGCATGCGTAGAAGAGTCCGGAAAGATGGACACCAGAATGTTAATGGTGGTTAGATCTGTAGAATCATGGGCTTTTTATGGAATTTGTCTTCCTTATTTTTTCTTTTCTAATTTCTGCACTGTGATCATGGGTAACTTGTGCAATAAATAATAAAATATGGATCAAAGGAATGGAGGCGGGAGGAGAGGTGGGAGGGGGGGTGGCCCTGAGAGATTCTCCTGTTTCCTTCTTGCTCCAGATTTCTGTACGAGCGACACGAGCAGTCCAAGCAGGACCTCAAGGGTCTGGAGGAGACAGTTGTGAGTGGCTTCCTCCTGTGCCAAGTTAGCAGGGTGGGGGTGGGGGCTTCAGTTCTTCCCCCGATTTCTTCCTAACCCCATTCCTGCTGCCTTTCTGCAGAGTCAATCTGTGGCACAGTCAGGACACACCTCCTCAAGGATGGGTGACTCAGTAATTTTAGAGGGGGAATGGTGACCTGGTATTTGGCAGCCCCCAATTTTTCATCATTTCTTTCCAGGCCCGGGAACTCCAGACCCTCCACAACCTTCGCAAGCTGTTCGTTCAAGACGTCACGACTCGAGTCAAGAAAGTGAGTGCTGTCTCGGGGGTCTTCCAAGCCCCCATATTCTCCTGGGCCCAGCCTTCTCCAGTCCCTGTGGCCTCCAGTGGGGCCGGCTTGGCCTGGTCTGGGTGGGACCTGATTGGCCTCAGAACAGCCACATCTCCCCCCGGTCCCTGTCTCTCATCAGAGTGCAGAAATGGAGCCCGAGGACAGTGGGGGGATTCACTCCCAGAAGCAGAAGATTTCCTTTCTTGAGAACAACCTGGAACAGCTTACAAAGGTTCACAAACAGGTAGGAGCTGGGGGAAGGGGTAAAGAGAACTCTTGAGGCCAGGAGTCTAGGATACTTAAATCCCCAGAGGCCCTTGGATTTAGGAAAATCTACTCGCATGTTTTCCTTACTTTTCCCTTTCCCTTTTCCAATGAATCCCTTCTTTATACCACATTTGGTTCCACTTTTACTAGTTCTTTGTTCTATGCCTGCTTTCCCTTCCCAAAGCTCCCCTACCTGCCTCTGCTCAAACTGGAATTCCCCAGGCCTACGTTGTTGGAGGGAGAGGTTGAAACTGATGGAGTTTTCAGAGGCATGGGGCTGTAACCATACACGAGGGATACTGGTCAGACGCTAGCCAGAGATGGAGAGCAGTGAGGCAAGAAGAAGCCAGGGACGCTGGGCTTTCTCTCCTGGCGAGGACTCCACCCACCTAGGCCTGGGGCAGGCACACAGGGAAATGATATGATGTCCTCCAGGTGGCCCAGCCAGCCCCTGGTCTGGGCCCGTGAAAACTCCTGTGTATTAAGTTGCTGCCTCTCTGTCCCCCTCCTTGCTGCTGCGGTTCTTTAGGTGGAAGACTGGGTTTCAAAGGTATGGGGTGGGGAGGTAGATGGGGCAGTCCGAAGGAGTCAGGACAGGAAATGTTTGGTGCGCACAGAGCAGGAGCACCCTCACTAGCGCCAAATAGCTGAGCCGCGAAGACAGATGCTGTCAACTGGCTCTTTAACTGATTCATAAAATAAATCCTGACCTATACTTCATCCCTCTCCTTTCAAGTCCATCTTAAATTTCCTTTTATACTCATATTCTCACCAAACTAGAGCTTAAACTTCTTTTCTTCCCAGTGCTTTGCCCAGCATGTATAGTAAATACCCCGTACACCTTTTAATTTTTTTAAATAATGAAAAAAAAATCCCAGAACTGTGGCCCAGTGATAGTCCACAAGGCTTATTTATTTTATTCAGACCTGCAGAGGGCTTTACTAACATCTTTTCCCCTTTGCTTACTGTAAAAGAGTATAACAACATTATAGAAAAGTTGAAAGACTGGGAAGAAACATTTGTAGTCAGTTTTGCCATTCTTTTAAATCTCTGTTCATTTTCCTTTTCTAGCCAGAGGCATATTATATTGTTTTTTTCCCCAATTTTTAAAATTGTGGTTAATTACACATAAAATTTACCACCATAACCATTTTTAAGTGTTCTGTTCAATGGTAGTAAATCTACTCACAATGTTGTGCCACTATCACCACCACCCCACTCCGGAAGTCTTTTCATCTTGTAGGACTGAAACTCCATCCCCTTTAAATAAACTCCTTATTCCCCACTCCCCTCAGCTCCTGGCAGCCCCCATTCGACTTTCTGTCTCTAAAATTTTGACTCTTGCCTAAGTGGAATCATCCAGAATCTGTCCTTTTGTGACTGGTTCATTTCACTCAGCACAGTGCCCTCTAGGTTCATCCTCATTGTAGCGGATTTCAGGAAATCATTAGCTGTTTCCTTTCCCCTCCATGAAGCCACTGCCTCTGCTGTACGTCTCAGAGACCAAAAACTACTCACCTGTAGGATAGAGGACTCCTCCTAGTTTCTCACCTCAGCAGACATAAGACTAGAAAGGAAAACACAAGCGATGTGTAATAGACCATAGCCCTATTACAGGTCAAGCTAAATTATTATCACGGCAAAACATTGTTTATAATCTGTAAACTGTCCAAAATTAAAGGAATAATTCTTCCAGTGTTCCCTGCTACACCGATTTACCTGATCATCTTCCAAGGCCGGCTCCGTCTGCAATTTATAGGGTCCCCAGTTGTTGAGTGAAACCTTATAAAAAGATCAGGAAGTCTTTTTTGGCTGTAAGGTGGTTGCTGCCATGCTCTAGCTTAATTTAAATGGGGGGAAGGACAGCCCAGGAAATCCTTGACCCGTGAAGGTAACGAGCACAAATGTTTGTGAGAACTCAAACATTTTCTTTCCTTCCTATGGGGCGGCCGTGTGTATGTGTGTTGGGTGGGGCTCCTGTGTTCCAGCTTCTGCTCCTGCTCTGCACTGCACCTAGCCTGCTCCCAGTACCATATCCACCTTTCAACTGCTACTGTGCTCTTGCTGCCTCACCCTGTGCATGCCCACGAAACCATCTCTGGATCTCTGGGTGAGGGGGGTGCCTCATCCCCATGGTTGCCCTGGGGCTGTCGGTCTGGCACCCGCTGTGATGGGGGGGCGGTGTGTCTAGGCCAGGAGGAGACTGGAACAGGGCACTGTCACAAGAGTTCTGGGCTACAGAGAAGTTGGCACGTTTTTGCTGTCTGGAAAATGATGTAACTTTTAAACGCCTGACCACCGTTTGCTAAAGGGAGAAGGAAAGAACTGGCTAGAACAGCAACTACGTAAAGGGAATGAGGCCTTTGGAGGAAACAACATGGTTGCCATCTTCTCTGTCTTGACTTTTCTTTATTCTCTCTCCCCACCTGCACCCCTACACTGGCTCTGTCTCTGTGTGGTTCGCCTTTCTCCTGGGCTCTTCCCCTGGCTCACCACACAGCTGGTACGTGACAATGCAGATCTGCGTTGTGAGCTTCCTAAATTGGAAAAACGACTTAGGGCTACGGCTGAGAGAGTTAAGGCCCTGGAGGGTGCACTGAAAGAGGCCAAGGAGGGCGCCATGAAGGACAAGCGCCGGTACCAGCAGGAGGTGGACCGCATCAAGGAGGCTGTGCGGTACAAGAGCTCCGGCAAGCGGGGCCATTCTGCCCAGATTGGTGAGTGGGGAGTGGTCATCAGTAGGCAAGGGGGGATTACCATCTGGGGAAACCCAGCAAATTCCCAAGTGTCAAGCAACCCCACCTTCAGCCTCACCCAACACCCCAAAAAAGTGTAAAAATGAATTGTAAGCAACTCAGTTCAACTCTAGCTAAATGACCTCAGGGAGCAGGGCAACTGCAGGGTAACAGATCTCCTCGTCATCGTCATTTTCCTGTCTTCGCTGCAGCCAAACCCGTCCGGCCTGGCCACTACCCAGCGTCTTCACCCACCAACCCCTATGGCACACGGAGCCCTGAGTGCATCAGTTACACCAACAGCCTCTTCCAGAACTACCAGAATTTGTACCTGCAGGCCGCACCTAGCTCCACCTCAGATATGTAGTGAGTGACCGTGGGTGTGGGCGTGGGCTAGAGTCCCAATCCAGGGCTTTCTGCACGCTAGAAGCATAAGGCTGGGGGATAATTACGGGGTGAGACTTAATTCTTTTCCTAAGTAGCTTCATTTCTAACCCTTTCTCGACTTCACACCTTAGATTAGAAGGTGGGCATCTGCCCTCCCAGCCTGTGGCCATGTTCGTTGTCCTCTGGTCCCTGGGGATGGGAGGGGTGTATGGCTCCACCCCTGAGGATGAGTGTGGGTTAGTGGTCCTCAGAATAGTGGAAGGTGGGGTGCCAGAGGTGGCATCTCTCTCCTCTGCTCTATCCAGCTTTGCAAACTCCTGCACCAGCAGTGGGGCCACATCTTCTGGTGGCCCCTTGGCTTCCTACCAGAAGGCCAACATGGACAACGGTGAGTGTAAAAGATGGGTAACCAGCTTGCGGGACCCCCAGGGTAAGTTGAAAAGTATCAGAAAAGTAAGTGGCCCTGTACCTACAGCTCAGACACTGCATCCCTTCGGGGCCTTGGACTCTTAGAAGTGGGTTCCTCTTGTCACCGTGCCTGTCCCCACCCTTTCCTTCCTTTCCCCTTCTCCTCTCCTCTGTGAGGACTCAGGGAGGCTTTTTTTCAAACAAAATAATGGCGCAGGTCGCGGTAGTTGAAGACAGAGTGTCGCGGACCCAGATGGCAGCTCTGCTCCCCAGAGGCTTACCTTTTTCTCCAAGGGATTAGGATGAGGGAGGGTTTGGGGAGACTGTTTGTAACACCCCATCTCTTTTTTCCTTCTTCCAACCCTGTGTTTTCAACGATGGTCTCTTCAGGAAATGCCACCGATATTAATGACAACAGGTACACCAGTGCCCACTGCTCCTGGGTTCTCCGGGTGGGCTCAGAAGAAGTGATGGCATTTCCCTAGTGCCCCACTTAGAGGTTCTCTGCAGCCTCTGGGGGAAGGAGGCGGAAATGAGAGCCATTCGTGCCACCACTGTTGTCCAGAAGATGCAGGCGTTCCCCTGCCCCGGTGCAGAACACCCACCCCTCCTCAGTCCCGCCCGTGGCGCCTCCGCATTCCAGCCGGGGGGATGCTGGGAGAGCAGAGTGGCCGGAGTGCTGTCGTTTTCACGGCACTGACGCGCTGTGGTTGTGCTGCGTGTCTTCTCCCAGGAGTGACCTGCCCTGCGGCTACGAGGCTGAGGACCAGGCCAAGCTGTTCCCTCTCCACCAAGAGACAGCAGCCAGCTAATCCCCCACGTGGACTGCTGCATACCTGCACTTTCAGGTAGTGTCAGGCCGCTTCCTCTGACTACCCTCAGGCGGCCTCCTTTCTTGCCGTCAGCTTCTTTGTTTCTCCTGCTTTTTAAAAATCATCTCAAAACTTTTACTCTATAGTTGTCCCTTAACTCCTGCTTTGCCCTCAGGGGCTTCATCAAAACTGCCCCACGTCCTGGACACTGGCCTCCCCTCCCCCCTTGTGCTCGGCCCTAGTAGTAACCACGGTACCACTTTCTGCCACTAGGGGTCACTGAAACATGTCAAAAGAAGTGAGCAAGGGCAGTGTCCATCTCTAGCCCCTCACACAGGTCACAGACTTTTAGATATTAGGGGACCTTGGGAAATCTTCTCAACCCTCCCTCTGCCTCCATCCTAAGATACTTTTTGTATGGATAGGCATTTTCTGAACTAAAACATCTCCAGTAAAGGAGACGTTTGATTTACTTCTACACCTGTGTCCTATACTCCTCATATCTGTATATGTCACCAGTAAGCTTTAAGAAATGCCCCAGGAAGTCACTTTTGTCCCTCTAGCTGCAGTGTCAGCACCCCTCCCATCTTGCCAGTGGAGGTGGAAAACAGCCGTGTCCCCACCTCCAAGCACCACCCCCTTCTCCACCTCTGTCCCAGGTCGTCTCCCCTGTGCCCACTGCGTTCCTAGCAACACAGGCACCTTCCTGGTTCTCACGTGTCACCAGGCTTCTCACCAGGGTTGGTTCAGGGCCCACAACTAGGCACTGGGATCCTCTTTTACTGTCCACTTTGGATCCTTGGAGAATGAGAAACAAGAGAATATTGGCCAGTCTCCTATTGGGCTGCACCCAAGCCGAGCCCTCTCCAGGGGTTTTCCAGAAAACTAGGCCAGGCACACACAGGCAGAAAGGCTTGAGAAGCAAGCAGGAGAAATGGGGAAGGAAGAGTTAGGGAGGATGGGGGGTGGAGGAGCAGGGGCTGGGAGGGTGGCGTCTGGTTGCTGGTATCAAAGGAACAGGACTGTAAACCAAAGTTGTTACAGAAGCCACCCTGTTCCTGTTCAGTAGCCGGGCTGCAAGGTGGTTCCTCACAACCTCTTTCTCTTTCTTCTCCAGTTTCTAAGAGGGACTGAGGCCTCTTCTCTCAGCATGCTGCAAACCTGTGGTCTCTGATACTAACTCCCTCCCCAGCCCTTGTTGTTCGACTGTACCATGTTTGATGTCTTCTCTTACTCTGTACCTCTTTGTACTCTGTATCTATATATCAAAAGCTGCTGCTATGTCTCCCTCTTCTCTCTGTCTTACTCTCTAGTATCTAACGATGTATTTAGCAATTTCTAAGCATAGTATCCCCTCCTCGTTTGGGGCCATAGGGAGGAGGGGCAGTGTTTCTTCTTCCTCTCATATATGCGTCTCTCACACTGAGTGGTGTTAGTCACGGAGATGATAAAAGGAAAACGGGAGCCAGAGGGCTGTGACCCTTCCCATACACAAGTACACACGCACACATGCACGTACACGAAGCCTTAAGCAGAAGAATGTCTTAGCATCATAAGAAGACACAGAAATAGACTCTTCCTCCCTCCTCTTCCATATTTAGCACAGGGGAGGGTAACATGGAAGGCCTGCTAAATTAGACAGAGAGTTTTCTTCAGACACCCCTCACCCGAACGGAGGGATTCCGGGCGTGCACCTCTGCCCTCCCAAGTCGGCCGTTAGCCTCCCTTTTCCTGTTCCGCCTGGACAACCAAGAACATGGACTGCTCAAGGGACCGCTTCCCTTCCTCCTCAAAACTCCTTTTGATATTCTCTACCTGAGAGCTCATGACCAGAACCAAGAGCTGCTGAAAATATTTTGAAAAATGACAGGGGCAGACCGTTCCCAGCTTGTCTGTCCATGGTGATACTTACAGCCAAGTGTCAGCAAAACAGCTGCTTCTTTGGCTTTGGGGGGTAAACAGGCTGGAAAATTCCCAAGTATTTTTTGCCACAGTGATGAGCTGGATCCTTTCTCTGTCCCATATTGGGCTGCATGCTCCTCCCATCTCCACCTTTTGGTTTGAGGGCTTCCAGTTCATTGGCCAAATACCTGTCTCGAAATGCCTTCCTTTCAACCTGGAGCCTGACTTTTCCCTGATATACATTTAAAAAATTTATTTCCACAAAGAATTCCTTCTATATTGTCCCCATCTGGCATTAAGTGCACTTTAAAGAAAGGGGCTGGGCAGATTTTCCAGAGGTGGAGGAGCCCAAGGGCTTAACCTGAGGGGCTCCCCCCTCCCCATATAATTGATAGGACTGTTGTTTTGGTTTCTTGTCCTTTCCCACCACATGGTGCTAAGGTGGCTTTCCAGGTAACTGCAGGGATAGAGAGTGGAGGTCACAAGCCAGTCCAAATCAAGAAAGAAAGTCTGGTGTCCAGAGAGCCAGTCTCATCTGGGATGGAAGTACAGGGCAGCAGGGCAACCCATCCCCCAGCTTCTAAGTCAGGAAAGGAAGCTCAGTGTGAGTGCCAGCCAGTAAATACAGGCTGTGTTGGCCCGTGACTCCTTCAAGGGAAAAAGTCCCTTCTCCCTTTACCTGTTGGGCCCCTTTTGGCAATTAAGGAGAAATGCAGGGCAAAAAAGAAAAAAAACAAAACAAAAAAACCAGAGGGATGTGGAATAAATCCAAGGTGGTGGTATTCAAACATTTTTCAAAATCAGTCTTATATAAAACCCTGATATAAAAAACAACTAGAAGTGATGCAGACCTGGGTAGTCTGCATTTTTGTTATTTGGTGGAAGATGCTTCACTAGTTGAAGAGCCCTTGAACAGCCCTAAGAGACCCTGAGGGTTCTTTAGAGTAGTTTGAAAACCATTCAATCTGGCTCCCCTCCCCCAGGCCCGCAACTCACAGCGAAGAGGGCAGGGGTTGGGTAGACCAAGCCACGCTGTCTCCAGACCCAAGGGGAGAGGAAGGAAGATGGCTGCGCACCTGCAGACTTGTGCTCGTATTGGCCAGCAGGGCACCCAAGAATCCAGTGGGCTTTATGTAATCTTGCCACCAAATGATTCTTTTAAAACATAAGAAAATGGGAAGGTGTAGGCCAGGGGAGGAGAGAGGTGACAGAGGGAGCAGTCTTCTCTTCAGCAAGATGTAAGGGAAATACAATTCACTTACATAAATAAGAAACAACACACACACAAAGCCTTCACCAGAAGCTTCACTCTCCATCCTTCTCCTCCTCCCTACCCCCCACCCCCCCCCACCACCACATTCCTTTCAGAGAGCCAGGGTCACCACAAGGGACACTTGGCCTGCCCACTCACATCTGCCAAAATATTGCATGCCAGTGTGGAAGACAGACCAAACCGCACAAACCCCAGTGTGTATTTACTTGATGTACATAGATACCTTTAAAATAAAATAAATTCAATGATGACTCCAAGGTGTCGTAAATCTTTACCCTCCCCCAGTCTCACTCCCTTCCCTGCATGTAATGGTGTTATGACAATGTGGTATATGCCCTTCTGGGTGTTTTTCTACATATTTCCACGCAGGGTTTTTTTTTTTCCCCACTTGACAATATATCCTAGAAATCTTTTTATGTCAAAATACACATTTACCTCATTAAAATATATAGTCTTTCATAAACTTATCCTGTAATTTATTCAACCATTCTACTATTGGTGGACATCTATCCAAGCTGTTTGTAATTTTTAACAAAAAATGGTATCCTGTTCTCTTCATTTTTTTCCCCCAGACCATCCTCAGTCCCAGCATTAGTCCCATCCCTCTCTAGTGCAGCTCCGTCCCTCCCTTGCCAAGAGCTCAGTTCTCTTGTCCCAAGATCATTCACCACAATCACCCTTCTAACCTACATTTTAGAGCACAGCCCTGCCTGCCTTCTCTACTCAAAGCTTCTGAGATGTGTGGAGAAAACCTCACAACCAAAACATCGGGGCAATTAAAAACAAAGAGCCACAGAGCTAACTGGATCTTCTGTGCTGGCACAGTTCCTTCTGTGTGTTCCTGCTCTTCTCCCACCACCCAGAGCAACTGGCAAAACCCTCACGCCTCAACATCCCTTCTCACCCTCCTCTCAGGCAACAACTTTGTCTGCTTTAAAAGGGAAATTAAGGTGACTGAGCATGGAATTCTTCATGCCCCCCCCACACACACCTCAGTCTACACAGATCCTTTCCTTTCTCCCTTCTCACAAGGGATAAATCTCCCTTCTCTGGACTAAATCAAGTCATTTCTTGATCCTTCATTCTTGAGATACTTACATAGACCCAATATATAAAATAAGTAAAAGTGATGCAGATTTGGGCAGTTTACATCTTCTTTGTTAACTTCTGTCTCAGTGATTTCTTCCCTTCTCCTCGGTAAGGTCTACCTTCAAAGTGGGTTTTACCATGTGTTTCTCTATAAGCCACTCCCCACCTTGTTTTCTCACAGCCAAATTCCCTGAAAAAGTCCCAAGCTTCCCCTCCCTGCTTCCTCACCATCCATTCATCCCTCAGCCCAACTTGATCTGGCTCTTGTTGTGCTGAAAGTACTCTCCAAAGGTTACTAGTTGCCAAAAACAATGGGCACCTCTCCATGACATCTGACACTGCTCTCCATTCCTTCCTTCTTGAAACTCGACTCCCTTGGCTTTTGTGACCTGCTCTCCTGGCCCCTTTTACTTCTCTGGCCATCCCTTCTCAGCCTTCTCCCACTAGCCTTTCATGTGCTGGTCTACACCAGGGTTCAGCCCTTGGTCCTTGCTTGCCCTCCCTGGGAGGTGTCATCCACCCCGACAGATTCCACAATTATTAAATCTGTATATCCAGCCCAGACCATTCTGGTGAGCTCTGGGACCATACGTCCAGCTGCCCTCAGGTGTAAACACGTACCAACTCATGTTTTCACCAAAGACTCCTCTTCATGTCACCGCCATCTCTCTTCACCTTAGCCAGAAGCCTGGGATTCATTCTCAACGTCTCCCTTTCCCTAAAATTCCTCATTCTCTGAGAATTTTCCAAATCGACATGAAACTATACCTCTAGATGCCATCCCCTTCTTTCTATCCCAGTAGCCACTGTTTTAGTTCCTCATCTTGTGCCTAGACGTTCGCAATACTCCGGACACCTTCCAGAATGATGCCTGAGCGGTCCTTCTAAAAGCACAAAAACCGCTTAAGGGATCTCCTGCTTTGGGAAGAAATGCTTTCGGGTTAGCCTCAGACGGGAGGTTATTCTGGAAACTGGGCAAAACCGGAAGGCGGCAACCTTGCGG